CTGCTTTTTGGATGACCAGGACACCGGAGTAGAACCTAAGTAAATGACATATGCATTTGTAGATACATAGTCATCACTGTCACCAGCCCAGTCGGCGTCAGTGAAGGCGTGAAGTGTAAGAGAGGAGCCTGCTTTCATTTGTATTCCATGACTCACAGTCCCTGCCAAGTAACGAAGAACTCTTTTGACGGCTTGCCAGTGTAGCTCGGTGGGTCTGTGCATAAACTGCGAGAGACGATTCACAGCAAAAGAGATATCGGGTCTTGTAAAGGAAAGATACTGAAGACTACCAACGACGGAACGATACTGTGAAGGATCCGTAATAGCTGTGCCTTCAAGGAGTTTTAGCTTCGGTGTTGTCTGCATCGGCGTCGAAACCGGCTTAGCATCCAACATATTGGTCTTGGTCAGGAGATCTAAGATGTATCGCCGTTGCATAATGTGTAATCCTGTTGCCATTCTGTTTACTTCTATCCCGAGAAAGTAGTGGAGATCGACAGGATCCTTGATAGAGAAACGTCGAGCTAGAGATTGAAGAACAGAGGCGATGGCGTTGGGATTGCTTCCTGTGACAACAATATCATCAACATAGACCAATATATATGTAAACTGAGACCCAGAGATATGCGTGAACAAGGATGTATCAGCGAGCGAGTTCTTGAATCCCATGTCAAGTAGATGTTGTTTAAGTGACATGTACCACGCCCTCGGTGCTTGTTTGAGACCGTAGATTGGCTTCTTGAGACGACAGACATGGTGCGGTCTATCTCTGTCAACAAAACCGGGTGGTTGTGTCATATAAACTTCCTCCAAAAGGTCACCTTGAAGAAACGCATTATTTACGTCTAGCTGTTTGAGTTCCCACCCTCTTGTAACCGCAATATCTAAGACCAACCTGATGGTAGTTGATTTGATAACCGGGCTGAAAGTTTCTCCGTAATCAACACCATACTGTTGTGTGTTTCCTCTGGCAACAAGTCTGGACTTAAGACGATCTTCTTCACCATTGGGTTTGTATTTGATAGTGTGTATCCAGCGACAAGTTACCAGGTTCTGTGACGGATCAGGGGGAACTAAATCCCATGTTCCGTATCCAATTTGAGCATCGTATTCCACAGACATACTCTTACGCCATCGTTCGTCACTGAGTGCCTGCGCAAGAGTTCTGGGTTCTTTTGTTGCCGAGGAAGACGTCTTCACCGTCATCACGAACTTGGAGTTGGGCTTCACAATTTTGTTTTTGGCACGGGTGAGCATCGGGTGTTGGTTTTGCGGTGGTTCAGTAGCAGCGGTTGGCGGAGGATTCTGTATTGGTGGTGACGAAGAAGCAGTGGTTTGATGTTGGTTTTGATTTGTGTTGGTGGTTATTTCTGGTTCACTGGTTTGTGGTATTGGGCTGGGCTGGTTTTCTGGTAAGGAATTAGAATTTGCAGATGGGCTATTAGGGATTGTTTGTGGGGTTGGCTGGGCCGTGGGTTGCGGCCCATTTTGATTTGGAGCAGTGGGCTCAGAAGGTGAGGGAGAAGAGAAAGGAGTGTGAGAGTTAGAAGGCGATACCTGAGGTTGCAGAGACGGAGACGAAGAAGCTGACGGTGATGGCAGGTGAGAATCCGAGCACGGTGGGACTTGCGGCGAGGCAGTAGTCAAGTTGCGGACCGGTATTGTGGTAGCAGAAGGCTGAGACGAAGTTCCGGAGGCTTCAGCATTTTCAGTGACCACCGGCTTTTTCTTGGGAAGAGCAGCAAACGGGAAGCTTGATTCTTCGAAGACAACATGTCTTGAAGTGTAGATTCGGCCCGTCGGTATATGGAGACACAAGTAAGCACTTTGACTTGTTGAGTACCCAAGAAAGACACAAGCTTTTGAGCGATCCTCCATCTTATTTGATGTGTATGGTCTCAACCAAGGGAAACAAAGAGAGCCGAAGATGCGGAGTCTGTTGTAATTCGGTGGCTTCTGGAACAGTTTGTGATACTGAGATTGATGAGCCAGATTCGGAGTGGGTAGCCGATTGATCAGATATATCGCTGCTGCAAACGCAAATGGCCAGTACGTTTTGGGCATGGAGGCATGAGACATCAACGTGAGACCCGTCTCGACAACATGGCGATGCTTTCTCTCTGCAACACCGTTGTGTTCCGGAGTGTGCGGAGGAGAAGTCAGATGTGAAATTCCATGCTGTTGCATGTATGATCGCAGCGCTATAAATTCACCACCATTGTCAGAGAACAAGGTTCCAATTCTGCTTTGAAAACGATTTTCCAACTCTTTGTAGGCTACGAATATTTCCTTGACCTGAGATTTTTGTTTTAGAGGGTACAGCCAAGAGTAGCGAGTAAAATGATCAACTAGAATGAGATAGTATTTGAAATTATCATTAGATAAAATAGGTGAGGACCACACATCTGTAAAGATAATCTCAAGAGGTCTAGTAGAAGTAATACTCGAATCAGAAAATGATAACTTATGGCTTTTATTAATAAGACAGTCTGAGCAGGATAGAGTTTTATTTGAAATCTGAGAAACAGGAAGTGAAAATTGAGAAATAGTTTTGCTTAGGATAGAAGAAGAGGGATGTCCCAAACGGGAATGCCAAGAAAATAACGTAGCCTTAGAAGTTGGGGAAGCAAACATGGCCGCAGGTGAAGTGAGTAAACTCGGCCACTCATAAAGTTGATCCTTACTGTTGCCTTGGAATAACCAGGTCCCCGTGCTCAGATCCTTTACCTGAAATGAGGAAGGAAATAATTCAACCGAAACTTGATTAGTGTTGCATAGCCGATACACAAAAATCAAGTTCTTATGGATAGTTGGAACACATAAAACATCACGCAGAGCTAGAGATTTATGTGTAGAAGGTAATGAAACTGAACCCGTATGTGTGATAGACTGATTAGAACCATCTGCCGTCATCACAGTCTCACCTCCTTCGTATTGTTGATGCAGGGATAGGTTCTGAAGATCGGATGTGATGTGATGAGTGGCACCACTATCAAGAAGCCAGTTAGTTGCTGTGTAAGGATTAGCAGCTACCATGTTGGCTCGAGGTTGGTGCGGTGTGAAAGGAGATTGTTGAGGCGCAGCCTGGAAGCTAAGGAGCTGAGGACAACGCCTGGCTACATGGCCTTGTGTACCACATATCTGACACTTACCAAGGTAAGGGCGTGGGCCACGAGGCTGCTGTTGCCAATTCATGTTGTTGTTTGGCCTCGCTTGGTTATTGTAGTGGTTCCGGTTCGGGTTTGTGTTGTTGTTGTTGTACCTGCCGTTCTGATTCTTGTGCTGGACCATGTTTGCAGAGACCGGAAGGAGTGGCGGAGAGACAGTGGAGGCTGCCAACAGCTTGGCCTCATGATGGAGTAGCTTCTCGTGAATCTCAGTGATGGATGGCGCTATCTCACGGCCTTCGATCTGATCCACAACTTGCTTATACTCCTCTGGAAGACCCTCCAGGATAGCGTCCACTTGATCTTCATGATCCATTGGTTTCCCAAGGATGGCGAGTTGATCCAGTTTAGTCGTGATGCCTTGAATGTAGACATCAATACTCTTGGTCTCTTTCTTCCAATACTTCAATTGGTTACGAAGATTTTTGATGTGGGCTCGACTTGGTTTAGCGTAGGTTGAAGACAGAGTCTCCCACACCTGAGAAGCAGTAGCCGCGCGAGACACCAAGGGTTGGAGAGGCAGGGAAATCGCGCCAAAAAGGGCACTATAGATCAACCGATCTTGCCTCTTCCAGATGAGATGATCTGGATTTGAAGTAGTCACACCATCGCTAGTGACTTCAGTTGGTGGAGTGAGAGTAGATCCATCGAGATGACCAATGAGGCCATATCCATCTACCAAAGCATGCACTTGGAGACTCCACATGAGGTAATTGGTTGGAGTAAGCTTAGAGACATTTGTCATGTTGATGTTGAGAATAGTTTGGTTGTTTCGGTTAAGAGAGATGGTTTCAGAGGTGTTTGCAGCGAAAGTATTGTTTGAGGAAGACATAGTGGGTGGCGTGAGAAAGAAAATTTCGATTGAAAAATAGGGTTTTTAGGTTAGGAGCTGTAGCTCTGATACCATGTAGATTATGCAATGTAATTCATTAGATAGGACAAACGTCCAATATATACAAAGAGTACATAAGTGATACTAGGTTATAGCTATTGACATTAGAACCCTTTCCTTATATACATCTCTATCCTTAATAGTAACAACAACAATAACTTAGTACATTCTGATCAAATTTTATATCAAAACGAGCAAACACGTGTTTTATTTAATAAATAAATTTTATTTTTGATAAAACAATATTTAACTTATTTTTGCTTAAGAATTCCATATAAAAGATTTCCATTGGAGCATAAAATTAAAGTCTTTTTTAACTAAGATTCTTAATTACATTTAATTACGAAAATAATCATAAGAGACCCTAAGTGGGGTTGTGGGTTAGCTCTTATCTCACTTTTGATCACATTAATTGCAAAACGTTACACAAACAAAATATAAATAGAATTAAAAATATTTTTTTGTAATGGTGGGGTGCGCCTGGTCAGTGAACTGACGGAGCTTGATCTTCAAGGTCTTATCAATGAATGACTCGTTGGTTTAACTCATCTTTATCCTTCTGCAAGGCATAATCCAGAGCTATAGAGAGAGTGCCACTGGAGCATCGATCGGTAACAAAAAAATGTAAGTTGATTCGGTGGTGTTGTATGACCCTTTCTCTAGTATTTCTTCTGTGCTTTATGAAAGCAAAGTTTACATATGACCGCTGAAGTGTATTGCACGTTTCATTTGATCAACGCTAGCTCATGTTGTTTTAAGATTGTTTTATATGGTTCAGTTGACTCTCAGGTTAAATTATGTTAAGAAATATATTGAATGAAAGCAGATTTTTATAATATTCCGCTGAATGAACTTCGTTTTCTTAGTTCCTGAAATGTTTGTGTATTGATCAAGAAAGAGTTCTTGAAATGTTTAATAGCTATCTTTGTTCATCCTTCTGAATGGCCTCTTATATCTTTTTCCTTTTCTTGTTCCACGTTCTCCCTTGCTTTGTTGATTCTGTTCATTTCAACTTTACTAGCTTCCGACAAGGTGATCCTGGCAATGTTATATACCATGGGGATGCAAGCCCCGACGGAGCGGTGGTGCTTAATAACATTGACTTTATAGCTCGCGTTGGTTGGGTCACTTATGCTGAGGAAGTGCCTATTTGGAATCCTAGAAATGGTAAGCTTGCAGATTTTAGTACCAGTTTTTCTTTCATCATCGATACCCGGAACTTAAGGGACGGAAACTTCGGTCATGGGTTATGCTTCTTCCTTGCTCCTGTGGGAATCCAACTTCGTGTGAACTCAGCTGGTGGTTTCTTGGGTCTTTTTAATCAAATAAATAATGCTACATCTTCGTTTCCTCTCGTTCATGTCGAATTTGATACATTCGCCAACCCAGAATGGGACCCCCTCGATGTTGGATCTCATGTGGGTGTCAATAATAACTCACTTCTTTCTTCTAACTATACTTCTTGGAATGCAACCAAACACAGCCGAGATATATGTAATGCACATATCTCCTATGATTCCGTTACTAAAAACTTGAGCGTGTCTTGGGCTTATAAGCTAACCTCTGATCATCGAGAGAATTCAAGCCTTTCCTACATCATTGATCTTGCAAAGGCTTTGCCACCACATGTTGCGATCGGATTCTCAGCCAGTACTGGATCGGTTACAGAGGGGCATAGACTTTTGTCATGGGAGTTCAGCTCAAGTTTAGATATTGAGAAACCCTCTATCAAGACAGGGGTGATAGTTGGCATCTCGGTCTCTGCGTTTGTTTTTCTGGTCTCTTTGGTCATATTTCTGTTGGTTTGGTTACACAAGAAAAGAAAAAGGAAGGCAAAAGAGATAACAGAGTTTATATCTATAAACGAAGACCTCAACAAGGAAGCAGGACCACGGAGGTTTGTTTATAAAGATCTTGAGTTAGCAACCAACAGATTCTCAGCTCATAGGAAGTTGGGTGAAGGAGGCTTTGGAGCAGTCTATAGAGGATTCTTGAACGAAATAGATACGTTGGTTGCCGTGAAGAAATTATCTGGTCGTTCCAAGCAAGGGAAGAGAGAGTTTTTAACCGAAGTTAAGATCATCAGCAAATTAAGACATCGAAACCTGGTGCAACTCATCGGTTGGTGTAATGAGAAACACGAGTATTTATTGATATATGAGTTTATGCCAAATGGTAGCTTGGACACTCACCTCTTTGGGAAAAGACCACATCTCTGTTGGGATGTAAGATACAAAGTAGCTCTCGGTCTAGCCTCGGCGCTGCTTTATCTTCACGAAGAGTGGGATCAATGCGTATTGCACAGGGACATCAAGGCAAGCAATATCATGTTGGACACTAATTTCAACGTTAAGCTAGGTGACTTTGGGTTGGCTCGATTAATGGACCATGAGCTACGTTCCCATACAACAGGATTAGCAGGAACTTTTGGGTACATGGCTCCTGAATATGTAATGACAGGAAGGGCCAGCAAGGAGTCTGACATATATAGCTTTGGAGTTAGTATACTAGAAATTGTCACGGGAAGAAAATCAGTGGATCATTCAGAAGAAAACATTGAGGGTAAGAGTCTTGTTGAAAGAGTGTGGGATCTGTATGGTAGACAACAACTTATATCAGCTATGGACGAGAAACTCGGTGAAGAGTTCAACATGGAACAAGCTGAGTGTCTTGTTGTTGTGGGGTTATGGTGTGGTCATCCTGATAGAAACTCGAGGCCCTCTATAAGACAAGCGATCCAATTGCTGAACTTGGAGTCGCCATTACCTAACCTTCCCCACAAGATGCCAGTTCCTACGTATCACATCTCGCCTACTTCTCTCTCAGTCAGCTCAAGTAGGGGTTCGGTCACGTTCTCAAGTTGTCAAGTTGGTCGCTAATGCTCAATATGTCATTATACAATGCAGCTAAAATCTTGGAAATCCTGTATGTAATCTTATTAGCTCACATAAAATGCTGTACAAGTGATGAGAAAGATCTTTTTAGGTGTGGGACAAAGTGGACTATGTTGTCTGGTTTTCGTTTTCTCTTTTAAATGGCATTCTTTTATTTTAATCACATCAGAACTAACTTTACGAAACACAGCTAATGTTTTGTTAAACAAGACGAACAAACATTTGATAAAATTTAAATCTGTTAGATGCTTATAGAGTAGAATCTTCCGTTGGAGAGAAGGTAACAGATTGAAATATGAAAACTAATGAACGTAGTACGAAGATGTTATCCTTGTCTAATAACAAAAAAAAACGAACGGTAAGCCTTTGATTTGGTGTTATTCTATATACATAGAACCTCTATAAATTAATACTTGATAAATTAATATATATTAAATATCTATATAAATTAATATAATTTTATAGTCCCAAATTAAATTTTTGGTTCAATTAGTACATCTATAAATTAATATCTCTCTAAATTAATAAAAAACTAAAATTTTTGGTGTAGTCCCAACATTATTAATTTATAGAGGTTTCACTGTAGTATTCTCAATATTTAGGGATTATTTATTATCAAGTAACTATATTTTAAGAATTGTACTAATTAAATTGCACATGGACTTGACAACAAGTTTTGCCAGCAACACGTATTGAAAATCAGATGCAACCACATCCGAAGTGTTCTTATAACCGATTGCGCTTGGAAATAAGATCAAAATATCAGTCAAATTCTCAGAGGCATGAGTCGAGCTCAGAAGCCAAAGAGGGGATTTGGAAATAGTTTTCAACCAGCAATAGACGCACCTCGGTTAGTACCTCATAAGTTGCGTCACTGCCCCAAGCGCAAAGATGAATTGTAATTAACGAAAGCCTCTTCATCTTATAGTCAAACAAAACCTATCAACTTTACTACTACGTCCGATGTGGGATTAATAACCTAGATTGACTTATGAAAAGCATTCATGGGTTGATTTAACTAAAACTGGGTCTCGCCAAGTAATAATACTACTAGGATAAGATACGTGCCTTGGGCGGGATGAACTTATTATTTGTATTATATTTTGGAAAATGAAACAAAAGTTCGGTTTCATATGGATTAAGGGTGTTCAATCTGGATATCGGATTTCAGTATTTCGGTTATTAAAATATAACTACTATTCTAAATCCATATTTACTTTAGTTTGATTTGGTTTAAATATTGGTTTTCAGTTTATTCAATTTTATACCAAAATACATTATTATTTAGTTTGAGATCATATTATATATTATAAAAATAAATAATATAATCATATTTAGAGTCATATTGTCAAAAAGTCATTTACTAAAAAAAATATTATATATTTAAATAAAAGAATAAAAAACAAAAAAAACTTCTATCATCTAATAAAATGATCAAATTTAGAATTAATATCAAATCTCTAAATTTTGAAAATAAAAATAAAAACAAAACAGAAGCATGAAAGAAAAGGTTTTTATATTCTTCTATATTTAGCGTTCATCAAATTAATATGTCTTCGATTGAACACAACTCTGTTTGTTTAAAGATTAAAAAAAATTGTAAAGAATTTCAACTAATTGTTGTCCATCAAATTTATAATTTTTACTTCAATTTAGTTATTATTAAAAAAAAGCAAAAAAGAGAAAAAAGACTAAGAAAATAAGAAGCCTCAGTTGCATTGAATTGTTAGTTAATTATAGTTCAAGTGATTTACAAATCATAATTATAGTTCAACTCATGTAACAAATAGATATACATATTTACATGTTTCAGTTTAATCGGTTATAAATCAAACCATATCCAAATTTTACGGTTTTTATAAAATCACATACATTCGGTTTGTATGGTATATACCAAAAATAACCATATTATCAACTGTGTTAATATATTTTAAAATATAAAATTAAAAGAACTAATATATTTAAATCATTTTTAATGTGAAAAATTTAATACGTTTATAATTTATAAATGTTCTTGAAAATTCATTGAAATTTTTTAAATTAAAATAATTATGTAATCTTATATGGTATATAGTTTAATATATATATATATATATATATTATATATTTGTTTTATTATTGAATGATACTTTTTACTCATATGGTTTTAAAATCATGTGTATATTTTTCTAATAAAAAAGTTAAACTATTGATCATTAATTTTTAACATAATAATGTTAATAGTTTTAGTAATTTATTCTCGGTTTTTTAAATTCAAAATATAACATATACGGAAAAAAATCTAAAGTTTAATTTTATAGCTAATTTGATTTTTTAATTTATTTTAATCATATAAAATTAAAGAAAAATGATGGTGGAGATACAAATTGTTATCAAATATTTATTATTAGAAACATTAATTGTCATATATATATATTTGTCATTTATGGTAATTCCGTAGCTTTTATTTAAGGAAATAAAATAAAATAGTAATTATATCTAGCAGAATAATCATAAATGCTTCTATCATAAATATCATATCATATCATATCATATCATATCATAGCATAGCATATAGTTTGACCATCAAATATATCTAGCGACATATAAAAATCGAATGTGGACCTACTTATTTTTCAATTGAATGTAATTGACTACCTAATTGAGTGACACGTAAGCACGAGCTCTTTTTTAATTATTACAAAATTGAGGTTACAATTTTTCAAATGTTTCTCAATTAATATATAGGGGACTAAAGTTTCCTAATTTATTTATCCTTTTTGGAATTTATTACTAATTAGGAAAGTAGTTTTATAATGAGACGTTTTTTCTATGTTTCCTCTTTTATTGCAATGCCACGTGAGCAACACTCCCCCACGTTATATATCGACAGTCTCTTTAACGAAAAAGAAGCCATGGTATAGAAGCTTGTAGAGATACGAGTATTAATCAGTCTCCAGTAACTAAATTGTAAGAATACTTTCTCTTCTAATCTGATAAGTGCACTTTTATCCGAACATACAATACTAACTCTATTCATATTTTATCACATTGCCAAATCGGCTGAAAAAAGGTTACACAAACAATGTGAAAGTAGAAGTAAAAGTATTGACTTTGTAATGTGGAGTGCGCCTTGAGTCCTTGACAATGAACTGACGGGAATGATCTCTCCCATAGAGAAATAGAGTTAATACCATTGTGAGACAATATCCCAAATATCAGATATTGTAATGTAAGAACAAGATCCTACAATTGATTTAGCCAAAAGACCAAGAAAAAGTATATGGGCTACGACGATAATATCAAAGCCCATCTCCTAATTTATTGCTCCATATTTGCTCTCTACCACGACAATATCAAAGATACATATACCATCCAAGACTTGATTAGTATCTGGGATCTCATATGAATATTGAAAACAATAACGTAGAAAGCAGTTGAGTTTAAAAAATGGCCTGAAAAATCACCTCTAAAATTAGCAGTCCACATTTTGTAATACAAAATTAAACTACCAAAAAAGTATATATACAATATAACCTTTTCAAATTAATACTCTATAAATTAATATATACTAAAATTCTCTATAAAATAATATAATTTTGTAGTTCCAAATTGAATTTTTGTTTCAATTAGTATATCGATAAATTAATAATCTCAATTATTTAATAAAAAATTATATTTTTGGTGTAGATACAACATTATTAATTTATAGAATTTTTCCTGTATTTATTGTTACGAAAATGTAACGAAAAAATAGTTAAATGTATTATTTTTTGTCCTTGTTTCTTTTTGGTCTGAAGCAGAAATTAGAAGGTGTTGGAACTTGGAAGTGGTCTTTGCATGTCTTTTGTTAAGTTTTTGGTTCCCACCAGAGATATATGCACGCTCTCTCTACTCTTAAGTCTTAACCACCGCAAAGACGCACGTGACAGTGACTCTACCTCATTTTTGGCCTTCTCATCCCCTCAACTTCCATTTTCTACCACCAAATTTGTATATATTTGTACGTGCGTGCATACATATACATCAACGCAATATGTAATTAATGACCGAGTGAAAACATTCACGATAATCTGAAGTATTAGTTAATGGAAATGTTATTTAGAATCTTATCAAAAGCATAAGAGAATAGAAGTTGAGAGGAGCTAAAGATCTTGCGTTTCTAAGAAAAACAATGAAGAACTATTTTTTCTTTGTTATAAAACTAACAGATTGGTTGCTTTATAAATTGTTTCAAAAATAGCTAAAAGAACTCACATCAACCACTTACACCTAAGAAAGTTGCGTTGTTGCCTTGTTGGTTATTATAAACACAAAGCATCTCATAAGAGCATGTCTCTTCTTGCTGTTTACGTATTGAATTTTACACGTCAACCCATTTTGTTCCAACTTCCAATATTGAATCTTTCCTCGCTTTTTAAAAAGTATACCTATGTTATTTAGGTCCGATAGAGAGAATGGCTGGTTCATTTCGACAAGACCCTAACTTAAGGAGACGAAAATAAATATTGAAATTTCTAATAACTCTTTGATATTCTTACAACATAAATTTACATCTAATTTTGAAAAAAAACTTCTCAAAACCTCTAAATATACTGTTTTGCAATAGATAGTAAACAGTGTCTTAGTAGTTTCTGTTTACTATAATTTAGCGTTGATTATGGAACCACTAACTTACCCTAGTTAATTATTGCTTCTATTTTACCTTTTAGGGTAATTCCGACCATTACCACAAATCTAATGTTGAAATTATACCAAATTTAGTGACATACACTAAATTTTACTTTAAAATAATATTTTTTAAAAATATTACTTAATTTTAAATCTGTCAAAATAGAATAATAAATACAAAAAATTCTCTATATATATACAGTAAAACTTCTATAAATTAATAATGTTGGGATTACACCAAAATTTTATTTTTTTATTAGTTTAGAGAGATATTAATTTATAGATATACTAATTGAACCAAAAACTCAATTTGGAACTATAAAATTATATTAATT